CCCAGGGGGATAGCTTGAGGCTCGGTCTCAAAAAAAAAAAAAAAAAAGATGAGGTCTCACTACTGCCTACCTAGAGTGCAATGATGTCATTCTAGCTCACAGCAACCATAAACTCTTGGACTTAAGCAATCCATCCGCCTCAGCCTCCTGAGTAGCTAGGACTACAGGTGCCCACCACCATGCCTGGCTAATTTTTGTATCTTTAGTGCAGTGGTTCTCAACCTGTGAGTCGTGACCCCTTTTTAACAATGAAAATACATTGTGGCGGGCAGTGCCTGTGGTTTAGTGAGTAGGGCGCCAGTCCTATACACCGAGGGTGGCGGGTTCGAACCCAGCCCCAGCCAAAACTGCAACAACAACAACAAAATAGCCAGGCATTGTGGCAGGCACCTGTAGTCCCAGCTACTCAGAGGCTGAGGCAAGAGAATCACCTAAGCCCAAGAGCTGGAGGTTGCTGTGAGCTGTGACACCATGGCACTCTACCGAGGGCAACAAAGTAAGACTCTGTGTCTAAAAAGAAAAAGAAAATATGTTGCAGCATTAGGAAGGTTGAGAACCACTGCTTTAGTAGATGGGATCCTATTCTTCCTCCAGCTGGTCTCAAACTCCAGAGCTCAAGTGATCCTTCCACCTTGGCCTCCCAGAGTCTGAGGATAATAGGTGTGAGCCAGCATGCCCAGCCCTTCATTCTGTTGTAAAGTACAGGGTCCCTCTTTCCCCGTTAATTAATTAATTTTTCTTTTATTTATTTATTTTTTAGCGATGAGGCATTGCTCTGTTAATTATTACTTTTTTTTTTTGAGACAAAGTCTCACTTTGTCACCCTCAGTAGAGTGCCCAGAAGGCATAGCTCACAGCAACCTCAGTCACTTGAGTTCAAGTGATTCTCACAACACCCACAACACTCGGCTGATTTTAGACAAGGTCTCACTTGGCTCAGTCTGGTCTCAAACCTGTGAGCTCAGGCAATCCACCTGTCTTGGCCTCCCAAGTGCTGGGATTACAGGCACAAGCCACCACACTAATTTTTATTTTTGTATTTTAAATATGGACTCTGAATTCTTTTTATTTAATATATTATTGTTAATCCCTGTTACTATCCATATTGATACTCAGATTGTTCTCAGTTTGGCCAGCAGGACTTCCTTCAAACTGTGTCTTTTTTTTTTTTTTTTTTTTTTGAGGCTTTGTTATCCTGTGTAGAGTGCTGTAGCATCGTGGCTCACAGCAACCTCAGTCTCTTGGCTTGAGCAGTCCTCTTGCCTCAACCTCCCAAGTAGCTGGGAGTACAGGTGCCTCGTTTCTCTATTTTTAGTAAAGACTAGGTCTTGCTCTTGCTCAGACTGGTCTCAAACTCCTGAGCTTAAGCAATTCACTCGCTTCGACCTCCCACAGAACTAGGATGACAGGGTGAGCCATGTACCCAGCCCAAACTATGTCTCCTTTTCTTACTCAGTAGCTTGTTTGGGGCTTGGTTTGAACTTTTTCTGCTTCAGTTGTAAAATCAGTGCTTCTCCAAGGAGCCCTGGTCCTTTTCTTGGAGAATGGTGCTTAGAACTTATGCTTCTTTACCATCATCCAAGAATTTCTCACAGGCAACATCTCAGCTCATAGCATCTCCCAGGAGCCACCAAACAATAGAACTTTCCTTTTTGAGGTGAGTGGATAGTCCATCCCCTGAGGGACACAGTGTAAGTGGCATCTTTTGTTGCAGGTAAACCTGGGACCAGACAAAGTGGTGGTTGACCTGACAGATCCCAACCGACCACGCTTCACTCTGCAGGAGCTGAGGGACGTGCTGCAGGAACGCAACAGACTCAAGTCGCAGCTCCTGGTGGCTCAGGAGGAACTGCAGTGCTACAAGAGGTGGGCTCTTTGTCCTCAAGGGCCCTGCACCACAGAACCAGACCTGGCCTGCAAGTCCTTGCTGGGGTGCATATCAGTTCTTATGTTCATTCATCCAATTGATTGGAGTCCTACCAAGTGACTGACACTGGGCCAGGCACCAGGGGGTGCAGCAATGAACATAACAGAGGAAAGGAAAGTCTGGGCTAGTTCACTAGGGGGTACAGGAAATCAACAAGGAAACCCAAAATAAACACAAAGGATAATGGTGGCAAGTGCTCTAAGGGACACATGACAAGAAGCCATGGCAGGCAGTGATGTGGATGGGGCCGGGTCCTGTTTAGATAGGATGGTCAGGGAAAACTCCTCTCAGGGAAAAGAAGACAGCAACCAGGTAAGTATTTGGAAAGGCAAAAATGGAGCAGAAGTACAGAGACCCTGAGGTGGGAACCAGCTGGCTTATTTGAAGGAGCCCCACAGGGCAGAACCAAGAATGCAAGGCAGAAGATGATGAGAAGGCCACTGGGGAGGTGTGCCTGTTCAGCCACAGGGGAGTTACATTTTATCCTGAGTGTTATAAGTCGTTGGAGAGTTGTGATCAAGGGAATGATGAGATCTGATTTAATGTTTTAAGGAATCAGGGTGATGATTTGGATAATTGAACCACTTGGTTATGTAAAAGAATGTTCTTGGGCAGCGCCTGTGGCTCAAAGGAGTAGGGCGCCGGCCCCATATGCTGGAGGTGGCGAGTCCAAACCCAGCCCTGGTCAAAAAAAAATATGTTTTTTTTTTTGAGACAGATCCTCAAGCTGT